ACCTTGCCTTGAAAACTGCAAGGACTCGTCCAAGCAGTCACTGCAGGGTCAGTAATGACTGAGCGCAGACAAAAAAAACAAAAACAAAACAGCAACTGCAGTATCCTTGTTACTCTTGAGTAACAAGTTTCCCCTGCTGTCAACCTGGTCACTCTATTTTGTACCTGCTGTAGCTTCCAAGTAATCTTTAAAGCCCCATGAGGTAGTCTAGATGTGTGATAATAAGGGTGTTACTTACCACTGCCAAGTTTTGCCAGCTCAGGTAGGATTGTAAAAAATCCTTAAAATATTCTCATTTTGATGGTTGCATTTGGATTGTTTTTGTTTTCTATTAGGTAAACTACTCTGAAAATGTTCCTTACAATAAAATGATACATAGACATTTCAAAACATTTGCAGATTCAGACCAATCTGTGATTTGGATCCATTTATTACAGGTCCACTTTCTTGGTTTGACTTCTTACCTGTGAGAAAACAGCTATTGGATGGTACCCTTTATGCACCATCTTATACTTGTTGCCAACAGCTGGACTACGTACAGACTTCAGATAAACTCCCTGCATCTCAGATTCTATGTAGAGAAAGAAAAAAGACAGACACAAAAGTAATTGAAACCACACTCAATCTTCAGTCTGGTCTTTCTGTCCAGGTAGAAAGAATCTCCACATGGCATTTTTGTCATATAAAGGCTGTAACCTTCAGAAAGATTTGCCTTATGGACCCATTACAATTCCCATTACTCAAGTAACTTCATGGGCTTATAGTTACTCTGGAAGGGAAACTTCTAGCAGATCAAGAGTGACTTCTTTTCAAGGAAAGTAGCATATTCAGGTGTTGCGGAGAGGAATTATCAAGAACGTAATGGAAATTTCAACATCTCTCCCTTCCCAAGACACTGAAATTTCAAAATTAAAAACCAGGAGCAGAAATGGAAATATGTTATTCATATCTTATTTAAGAAAGTTACTTGTTGGACCAGGTGCTCATGAAAAGACACAAATAAGTTAAACAGAATATCAGTTGATTGGGGGGGGGGGAAGGATTTTCACTGCATACCATTTAAATCCTGAGTGATCTGTGTCTCATCATTAAGAAACTGCACAAGGGAGGAACTAAATTCATTTTCTGAATTTATACTCTCATCAGATGAAATTTCCACAGCTCCTTCTTCAGAAAGTTCTGCTTCCTCATCTATGAAACACTTGGCCGCATTCTACATAATGCAAAAGAGAGTTTTGGATACAATTCCATTTCAAAGAATTTACTTTAGAACTAAAACATAAAACCCACTTAACAACAGATGGCTATAAATTTCAGTAATGGCAGACTGGGCAAAATAGACATGTTTCCAAGGGGCTTATAGCAAATCACACATGAGGCTGCGCTTAAACTCTTGCAGCTGATTCATGGGCCATTCTTGGGATCCTCTAAGTCTTTTAAAGTACTTCACCCCTAGGTGTCAAAGTTTCAAATTACTGAAATAGAAACTTATATTCACCAAAAGGAGAACAGGATTCTGACTGTTTAACATACACTACACTATTGTGCTATACAAAAACCAACTAGACAGTTGGTTACTATATCAATATGTTAACAGCAGAATGTTCAGGCGTGATCAATAAATGGGTAAAGCTACAGTTTTCTATTTTCTTCCAAAAGTGCAGCCACCTGGGAAATTGGACTCAGATGATGGCTTACTCCATTTTTATTTAAAGCTACTGTGAGACTAGGCTGAAGTTGCCATAACCAAAAGATGAAGCAGGCACAAAAGCCAGGAATCTTGTCTATGAGATCCCTTTGGGAAGGTAGATAAGAAGGAAGCAAGTCATTAAGGAAACAAAGGAAAAATGTGACCTGAACCAGACAAAAGAAGTT